TCCCTTTGTTTTAGGTTACAGACAATACAGTGATAGGCAAAGGCAGCCTGGTCCTGCCCTCTGAATGCTTCAGTCCTGTAGGGGAAACATTAATCCAGAAGAATGCAAATAATGAGCTGTGTTAAGGGGTAGGGGAGGGTCAGGGACTAGGAGAACATGTAGCAGGCGACCGGGTCCCATCAGTGGGGTCAGGGAAGGCTTCCCTGGGAAAGTGCTCCACTGGGCTGAGAGATGGAAGATGAGTACACATTAACAAAGGCAAGAGGGAGCAAGAGAATGTTCCAGGAGGAGACAACAACATGTGCAAAGCCAGAAATGGAAAGAAGCAGGGCATATTGAGGAAGAGAGCAAAGTCCTGAGAGGCTGGAGGGGACATAGAGCCGGGAAGGTGGTGGGAGCAAGCTGGTCAGCTAGGTGGGACCATGCAACAGGCTTTACTCTTTATTCTGAGTGCAAGAAGCCTTGAAGAGTTGTAAGCAGGGAAGGAAGAGGGTGCTTTTTGGAAAGGTCATTCTGATTTCTGTTTGAAGAATGGATTGGATAGAAGAGGCTACCAGTTAGGTCCACGGAGATGATGGCACAGCTTGGGGTGCAGCAGGGAGGAAGGGAAAGACGTGGGAATATTCCAGAGAGAAGTGTTAGGAGCTGGAACGGGTGGTTCCTGATGGATTGTGTGAAGATTTTAAGGAAGAGGGAGACAGAAGGGAGGACCCTGGGGTTCTGCCCGGGGCCATGGGATAGATGATGAAGCAGGTCTTAGCAACAATGATCTGTAACTCTTTCCATTTGATCTTTGTTGCCGGCACTGTGCTGGGCCTTGGGGTTGCAGGCCGGGGAGAAGTTGAGCTCATGGTCAAACCGGGCTGGAGCAGGGCGATTAAATTAATGGAGGCACATGTGAGTGTGGGAGAGACTGTAAAGTGGTACAGTGAGGGAAAGCTCATTTGGGAAGATGCCACCAGGACCTCGTGAGGAGATGGGGTCTGAGCAAGCGGAACCACCAAGGATAGGCCGAGCAAAGTGGGTGAAAGGGGGCCATCCAGGCAGCAGGAGCAAAGCAATAAAGTACTGGGTGTGGATAAAGCAGCGGGGGCCAGCCAGAGGGCAGCAGCCTACTCACTAGGGTGAGTGTGCAGCACTGGCCGCCCCCTCCCTGCCTTCATCAGGGGCTGCCATGAGGGTCTGGGGTGGGCTGCAGTAAGGAGTATGTGAGCATCTGGGAAGCTGTTACTGCACCTAATGGGAATGGAGGTCACCGTGTGATATAATCTATAAATGCCAAGAATCATGATTTCACATCACTGTCCAACAGGATCATCTGATCCTCTGTTGTAACGGTTCCTGCATTTGTATTGTTCTCCCCATTTCACAGCGGGGGAAACCAAGGTCTATAGTAGTTGAGTAATGGCCCAAGATCTGGCCGGCAATACACAGCACAGAAACCAAGATAAACCCAAAGGGTTATTCCAGTTTACGAGCGGGTACGCAGGCAGGAAGGAGACGATCCGCAGCTGGCTGGGGGCCGCAGATGTGGTTGTGCGGGTTAGGCCATGCCCAAGGACAGCTGGCCCATAGGCTGAGCGGGGCTGAATGCAGCCCATCTCCACTCAGCAACCGGCTTCGTCTCACTCACACAGAAGGCACTGTTGAGTGTGGCTTCTGCCAGCCTTACTGGGCATGATTGGGCGTTTTTACAGATGGGGAGACTGGCAGAGCACCGTGGAACCAAGTGATAGCCAGTCGGGGTCAATGTGAGTTTTATGTTGCCTTTGAGGGTGGGTCTGTTCATAGGAAAACCAGCTGAGGCTGCTTTGGGTTGTTTTTGTGTGTGTGTTTTTGGTTTGTTTTTAAGATTTTATTTTAAGTAATCTCTATACCCAGTGTGAGGCTTAAACTCACAACCTTGAGATCAAGAGTCACACACTCCACCAACTGAGCCAGCCAGGTGCCCCAAAGCTGCTTTGGTTTTAAAAAATGAATGTTTAATTTATAAAAGTAACACTTTAAAATCTAATAAAATTCAACAATCTCCTTTAAGGAGGATTTTAAAACCTAAGTAATTCAGTTCCGCTAAATATTTTAAATTATTAGTAATTTACAATAAACTAAGCTTAAAAATATAATTATTAGGTTATCATAAAAGTTCCATTGTTGTTTTCAAAATTTATAAAATTGTCCAATACCTTTCAACTGAGAGGCTGGAGGGGACATAGAGCCGGGATCACAAATTTGAGTTAATTATTCCATTATGCATTTTTTAAAAAGATTTTATTTATTTATTTGACAGAGAGAGAGATCACAAGTAGGCAGAGAGGCAGGAAGAAACAGGGGGTAAGCAGGCTCTTTGCTGAGCAGAGAGCCCGATGCGGGGCTCAATCCCAAGACCCTGAGATCATGACCTGAGCCGAAGGCAGAGGCTTAACCCACTGAGCCACCCAGGCGCCCCCCATTATGCATTTTATATTGGAATCACAAAGCTCATCTGTTAGACATTCTGATATGCCAAATTATTTTAAACATTACAAGTATTTTCAAAATAAATCTACACAGACTTTTCCTTAATACCAAAAAAGGATAATATTATAGATTTGATTTTATCATTTCTAATCTTCATTCTAAACCTTCCCATGAGTAAGGAAGGATACTTACTAAGGAAACAGGTTCCTAGCGAAAGCAATCTAGAGTTATTCATCCAAGCAAATTCGGGCTTAGCCCCCAGGTGGCCAAGAGGCCCATTGAACAGACATGTGGGGCATGGCACGGGAGCCACAGCCTCCAACATGCAGGGAAGTGCGTTTTGCCCACGCTGTGGGGCTGTCCCCGGTTTCATCTCCATGCCAGCCAGGGACGCTGAGTCTGTATCCTGCCGGTGAGATAGGTCTTGCAGTGCAAAGCCCCAAGATCAAGTTAAGCTCTGCGCCCTTTTGTGTCTCCTACCTCAGCTCTGTCACCCCTTCAGGATGATCCCACCCAGGGTGTTCACTCCCTGATAGGATTCATCTAATCAATTTCCTGCTTGTTTCTATTCTGAATTGGGCGGCTTTTAGTTCCTCTCTGACCAGCCAGCAAGTATTAGACGTCTTTTAACACCATCCTTGGATTCTGTGTGCTTCTCGTGGCCTTGCCTGGCTCTCTCTGCCAACACTAAGGTCCCATTGATGGCAGCCAGCTCTGTCCATCTGGCTCTGGGTCATGCTGAGTCAGGGAGCCACGCTGGCCCCTGTGGGTCCACTGCGATGCTCAGAGCCATCCGGAGGGATGACGGAGAGCCTGCCTATGCCACTGCCACTGTGTACTCTGATGAGAGAGGCAAGTCCCCAGGTAGCTCAAGATGCTAAACACAGTAAGAAGCTTCTGGATCATTGGGGTGACATGTCAGAGCAAAAATGGTCCAAATATGTGTAACTTTACTTCTAAGTCAATAGAAAAATAATTGTAATATTGCATGGTAATATCCCGGGACAAGGGGCTAATGATCTCTAATCGCACATTTCTCAGTAAATATCCTTCTATCCAATGACATAGGTGACAATCTTGGGGCCCAGAGAGAGGAAACCATAAGCAGCTATGAAAGTGTGAGCAAGCAGGGGTCTTATTGGGCCAGCTTTAGTCAGCACGTAAGAAAGACATTGTCCTAAAAGCTAATAGGAACCGTTAAATGCTGAAATGGTTTTAAGCGTAAGACTTGATTGCTCACAAAGTATAAGAGAGTAATAATGGTTACCCTGTACTGAGCAACGCAGGGGGACAGAGCGCAGGCCCCGGGAGTGGAAAGACCCAGACTCTAGAGTCCATGCAGGTCCCTCACTTTCCACCCCACTTCCTCTCTCGGGACCTCAGTTTCTTCATCTGAAAAGTGAGGGTGGTAACATCCATGTGGCTTCATGGGGTGGCTGGGGTGCTCAAATGGGCTCTGAGAAGAAGCGATCTGGAAAGTGGACTGTGCTGGAGGTGTACGAGGGTCGGTGACACCGGCTGAGTGGCTGTTCCTGAGTGGCGAATTTCAGCCTGGCCTGCAGGAACGAGTGTGTATTCTCAGCTAGACTGGTGGGCTCTGAGTGTGGCAAGGTTTGCCCTTGGTGTCAGTGATGTCACCTATTCTCTGTGGACAGGCCAAGGGATGAGGCGGGGGTCTGCAGTGAATCCTGGTAGGAGGCTTGGACTCTGCTGCAGGGAAATCAGCCCCAGAGCCTTGGAGTGAGGGCAAGTGCCCAAGGACAGTGGAGGGAGCCAGAAGCAGGGACAGAGCAAGGGGAGCAGGGCCTCCTCACTGCCTCAATGGGGAGCCCCAGCCAGTCACCTGCCCAAGGTGGGGGCAATGGCAATGGCGTGGGCAACAATGAGGCACATTGTAGATAGAGAATATAAATGCACTGATAAAACCGATCGAAAGCCAGTCTGCTTTTTATTATCACCTTGTGCAGGCGATTCTAAGCAATGTTTATGATACAATACTTTCCCCCTGGCAGGGACAGTGCTCAGAGGGACACTCCCCTGCCTTCGTTATTGTTCCTCTCCACAGTTAGCCCTTAGCAAGGGATCTGGGGAGGGGACAGAGCCTTGGAAGGCCCTGTGAAGACAGTGCGCTGGCATGGGACCATCTGAGCAGATAGGCTTGCAGGAGGGCCCAGCTGCCATGGAGGCAGGAGGAGCAGCCTGGGTGGAGAGAGGGGTGGACGGGCTGCTGTGACGCCCAGCCCACAGGAGGACTCTGAGTCCAGCTCTGGTACCGCCCTTGTCACCTGGGGACCACCCTCCATGCCACGCGCAGGTTATAATCAATTGGCAAGCACATTGAATGACTGATTCCTGAGCCTACCCCTCACTCCTCCGCATGTTCTGTTCTAAGAACATGCAAACCAGATTTTCCTCTCGGCTCTCCAGCAAGAGCTGCCCTCCCCAGGCTCCACTAGGCCAAGACTTATCAGGCAATCTGTGCTCTGCCTACTCCTTGGCCTGAGCTTGGGCCCTCACAGTGACTACCTCTCTCTCCCCTGCAGGAGCCAGGTTGAACTCGCCAGTGATTCACGTAAGAATCGAGGTCCTATAGTCACAGAGCCAGACAAGGATCAAAGTCCTGCGGGCCCAGGGCCTCTGAAAGATCAAGGTCCTGTGATCCAAGAGCGTCCGAAGGATCAAGGCCCCACGGCCCCAGAGCCTCTGAAGGATCAAGCTCCTGTGGTCTTGGCACCTCTGAAGGATGTGGGTCCCATGGTCCCCACACCAGTTAAGGATCAAGATCACGTGGCCCCCGAGCCTTTAAAGAACGAAGGTTCTGTGATCTCAGAGCCAGTGAAGGACCAAGGTTCCTTGGTCCCCATGCCTCCAAAGAATCAAAGTCCTATGGTTCCAGGAACAGTTAAGGAGCAAAGTCCCATGGTACTGGCACCTGTCAAGGAGCAAAGCTCCGTGGTCCCTGAGCCTGTGGCTCAAGGTCCCACGGTCCCAGTACCTATCAAGGATCAAGGTCCTACCGTTTCAGATCAGCTGAACGGTCAAAGCGCTACAGTCAGAGCACCTGTAAAGAATGAAGGTCCCATGCCCTCTGAGCCTGTGAAGAACCAAGCTCTAGTGTTGCCAGAGCCAGTCAAGGATCAAGGCGGAGCAGTCCCAGAGCTTCTGAAGGATCTCGAGCCTGTGGTTGCAGGACAGACAAAGAATCAAGGTCCTGTGGTCCCAGCACCAGTCAAGGATCAAGGCCCCGTGGTCCCAGAGCCTCCAAAGAATCAAGGTCCTGGGGTCCCTGAGCCTGTGAAGAGTCAAGTTCCTATAATTCCGGTGCCTCTGAAAGACCAAGACCTTCTGGTGCCACCACCAGCCAAAGACCAAGGTCCTGTGGTCCCCGAGCCTCTGAAGACTCAAGGTCCCAGGGGCCCCCAGCTGCCCACTGTCTCACCTCCACCCCCAGTCATGATCCCAACCGTCCCCCACGCGGAATATATTGAGAGTTCCCCTTGACATGCCAAGGAAGGAGCTGGCCGTGGAAGTGCTCCCTCCCAGGGGCGGCGAAGACACATATTTAATCTGCATGAAACATGTATCGTATAGTCTTGCTGGAATCTAATAAAACTTCTCCCTCTGGCTCAGCAGTGTTTCTCTTGGGCTCTCCTTGAGAGTGTGTGTGTGTGTGTGTGTGTGTGTGTGTATACATATGCACATATGCTCACATACACCATGAACATTTAAAATTGGGCATGCAGGACTCTGAGAAATCCCAGCTTCTGCGAGTAGACAGCATAAGATGGGAAGGGGTGAGAGAAGCTAGGAGATTGGGGAGGGGACCCCATCATGAGGATGTGGAGCAGGACAAACCCATGTTTCTCCTTCACTCTCACACTCCCACAGCACTTCCCTTCTGACACCACATGTGGAACAATCATCTGACACCAGCTGGGGTCCTGCCATTTGACTCACTTCTGACATCATTTACCTGGTTCCAGACCTCCAGGTTTTGAGGGCTAGGTCCCACAACACTGTCCCCACGCCCACATTTCAGATGCCAACGGCGAGTCCCAGGTTATAACTTATACTTCTGACTGTGGGCTATAAGTTGGGATTTCCACACCCCCTTACCTGGGTTCCATAATTTGCTAGAATGTCCCATAGAACTCAGGGTAACACTTACTTAGGTGTACTGGTTTACCATTAAAAGATAAAGGATACGGATGAACATCCAGACAGAAGAGATGTAAGGAGTAAGGCATGGGGAAGGTGCATGAAGCCCTCATCAGGCATGCCATCCTCTCAGTACCCCCAGCAACCCAGAAGTTCTTCAAACCCCATATTTTGGGGAGTGGGGGTTTTGGAAGGCTTCATCATGTAGACATGACCCATTATTAACCAATATCCAGCCCCTGTCCGCTTTCCAGAGGATACGGGTAGGGCTGAAAGTTCCAAGCTTCTAACCATGGCTTGGTCTTTCTAGTGCCCAGCACCCATCCTGAAGCTATCCAGGAGACCACCAAGAGTTGCCTTGTTACAGCAAAAGAAAGTCTTATCACCTAGGAGGTTCCTATCACCTAGGAAGAGTTTAGGAACTCTGTGCCAGGAACCAGGGACAGAGACCAATATTTTCTATCATTTCACAGGTTGGGTCCCATGAAAGCCAAGGAACAGGTTCCAAACCACAGTAGGCTGAGTTCTGGATTGGTCAGAGTTGAAGCCTAAAAAGGAAAGAGGAACAGGGACCCAGCTGGCCCAGGGTAATTCTGGGTGACAGTTGTTAGCCAAGGGTTCAGTCCTAAAGCTCATCCAGAGGTCATGTTTCTTTCTTTCTTTTTTTTAAGATTTATTTATTTATTTATTTGACAGACAGAGATCACAAGTAGGCAGAGAGGCAGGCAGAGAGAGAGGAGGAAGCAGGCTCCCTGCTGAGCAGAGAGCCCGATGCGGGGCTTGATCTCAGGACCCTGAGATCATGACCTGAGTTGAAGGCAGAGACTTTAACCCACTGAGCCACCCAGGTGCCCCCAGAGGTCATGTTTCTTTCTTCTTTTTTTTTTTTTTTTTTTAAGATTTTATTTATTTGACAGCGAGAGAGAGAGCGAGCGAGAGCGAGCATGAGCATGAGCAGGGGGAGCAGCAGGCAGAGGGAGAAAGAGAAGAGCCTCCCTGCTGAGCAGGGAGCCTGATGTGGGTCTCAATTTCAGGACCCTGGGATCATAACCTGAGCCAAACACAGACACTTAACTGGCTGAGCCACCCAGGCACCCCCAGAGGCCATGCTTCTTGAGAAAACCAGGCCTCTGATTGGAGAGTCCCAGGACACTTATGAGGGTAGAACCTAACGTCTGCTAATCCCCATTCAATGTCCAGGACAGCCCAGCCAAGGCTTCCAGAACAATCCTGAGGTCCCTCATTCATTTACACACACAACAGACTTTTCCTTAGCATCCACTTTGTCTTGCTCGGTGTTGGGCATTGAAGTCACAGGGGTAAAGAAGTCTCAGTCTCATGAGAATAAAAGGTGGTGTGGGATGAGACCCAAGGACACAACTAGAGGCGTGGCTTTGAAAGGGCAGTGAAGAGGAAATTCTTGGTGGGGGGAGCCAGGAAGTCTTCTGGGAGAAAGAGGCCATGGAGTACAGACAGCCTGGGGTCTCATGTGGTGTGGGTACAAGGTAAGCCCTTTCTGGAAGTCCTTGAATGAAAGGAACCCGATTTGCATGAGAGCTTGACCAAGGGGTATGGCAGGGCTCTGTGGCAAAAAAACCGGGACCAGGCAGAATCTGAGGTCCTGAGGGAGGGAGGCAGACTGGGGAAGAACACCCGGGCACTGTCAGGGCCAAAGCTCCACCTTGGTCAGAGATGGGTCCTGTGAAGACACCACTGTAGGGGCCACGACAGCTCAAAGATAGTGGGGGAAACTCCACATGTTGCCCCCACCAAAAGCCACTAAAGCCAGCTCCCAAGGAGCACTCCTACCCCTTTAGGGCCTTTAAGACCCATTATGGACACTAACGCCCTTTAAAGGTCTCTTTTTAAAGGGTTCCTTTTAAAGGAGCTCGGCTGGGTTGTTAAGAGAGAAACTGTCACAGAAAGTACTGATGACTTCCAAATAGTTTTTTGAGCAACTGGCCCCAAGACAGTCTCCTCGGCCCACTCCCAACAGCACCAGGGTTTTCTGCTCCCAGAAACCTCTCTCCTCTCTCTCTCTCTCTCTCTCTCTCTCTCTCTCTCACACACACACACACACACACACACACACACGCACAGGTTCTTCCTGGCCCCACACAGAGCTTGCTGCCATACTAGTTCTCAGAGTTGGGGCCCTGCAGAAGAGAAAGGCCACACTGAGGTGAAAGGAGTGCTGTGCGTGGAAACCTTCCTCCTTTCAGTTCTCCCTCTGACCCACACACCCAGTCCTGTAACTCACACACCCCCCATGGGCCAGGCCAGTGATGGGGCCATCTCAGAGACATGGAACCTCGAGGGGCAGGCATCCGGGGGGTCAAAAGGGATGGGGCAGATTGGGGGGCTCTCTGGGAGTCAGCTCCACATGCGGGAGGTTAAAGCTGTCCCAGTGACAGGGTCCCAACGGAAGAGAAGTGGACCCAGTTCAAAGCTCTGGAGACTTTTAAAAGGTAGGACAAGAAATGCACAAAGAAAGCTGAGAAGGCTGGCCCCAAGCTGTAAGAAGAAACCAGGGACCTTCAGTGCCAGGCCTGTAATGCCCAGAGTCAAGGGCTAAGAGAGGGCAGATGAGGACCCGGCTGTGGCTGCTGGTTAAGCAGCTTCGGCTGGGGAGCAGGCTGACCTGGGATCCAGCCCCGCGCCAATCACCTCAGTTTCCGTACATGTAAAGCCCTCCCAACAACGACTAGAGATCGTGCAGGCTGGGCTGGGGGGAAGCCTCCAGCCCAGGGCTGAGCTGCCGGCCTAGGCCCCACAGACCAGCTCTCCACTGCATGGGAAGAGGGCCCAGTGAGGGAGGTGAGGGCCAAGGCCTCCCGTCCAGGGCTGGGGCCAGAAAAGGCAGGATAATGAACTCTCAGAAGCAGACTTCATTCCCGGCCTGGTCCTTCCCAGCTGCAGCCATGTTCCGGCCCCTCCCCAGCACCTGGAACCTCCATCCGTCCTTCTCCCTCCCAGGTCAAGCCCAGACACCAGTGAACGGGCCCTCTGCCTAACACTCCACAGGCACAGGCACAGGCACCGACACAGCGCAGCACCAAAGGGTTTGGGTGCCCGCTGAGGAGACCAGGAGGGGTGGGACAGGTTGGGGAGCTCTCTGCAAGGGGAGGCTCCCGTTCCAGGCCAGGGCCAAGCCCAGGTCGGCCTGCGTCCGAGCCCACATCCGAGACTCAGGTCCAAAGATGCCCAAACTCAGTCCAAGCACCCCCAAACCTGGCTGGAACTTTCCAACCAGGGATCCTGCCCCAGGGTGATCAGTGAACCCCGGCCCCAGGCAGCGGGCCCTTGGGCAAGACATGCTTGGCGGGGGTGAGAGAAGGAAACCTGGGGTGCGTGGGCGCGGACCCCGCCTGGGGTGGGCAGGGTAGGGGGGGCGCCACCTCAAGGTGGGTCTTGGAGACCCTCTAGGAGCCCGGCCGAGGCCTCGCTCGAGCACCTGGTGGCTGATCCCGGGACAGGCCTCCATTTTACTCCCGTCACCAAGCGATGGCCTCCCTTAACAACTGCTGTCTGCCTGCCCGCAAGGCAGTGGAGACACCTTACCACACAGTGGGGGACGAGGACACGGCGCGTGTGGATCCACGGTAGGCTACAGGGGCCAGGTGGCACTGGGGCGGTACCTTTGGTAGTCTTTGTCCCGGGCAGGATGGGCCATCTAGAGGAAAGGGATGGGGAATGAACCCTGAGTGACCCAGTTCTCAGAAACCTGGAAATGTTCGCGGGTTTGTTTTGTTTTGGGGTTTTGGTTTTTTGTTGTTGGTTTTTTTTTTTTTTTTTTTTTGCACCAATTTCCAGCCCTCCACTTCCAATCCAACACTACAACATGCCCAATCTACCTGCTAAATAAATAGGGAATCTGTCCTCTTTCTTTATGGCCATCCCCTTTATACCTCACAATTATCCCAATTTGTAATTCTGCATGGGAATTACGTCACAGTACTCAGGGCATGAGAAATGTGCTTTTCTTTACTCTGATAAATCAAATGAAATCTAGTTGGAGTCCCCTCCTATCACTGCCAGGGTTGGCAGAACCTCTACTCTTATTAGTCATTTAGTCATTTACCATTTACTGCCCCCCTCCCTGGGGCGAGTCACAGACCCAGGAGGCTCAGGCCATCCTGAGAGGAAGACACACCGGTTACCACTGCAGCTGCTCCCAGCCCCAGCCAGGCAGGCACTGGTGGCCCCAGGTCCCTACACCATGCTTGGCTGGGAGCTCCCAAAGCCTGCCTAGACTGAGTAGTGTTTATGCCATTTCTCCAGGGACCCCTGTAACCCATCCCTCAGAGTCCCCACGATCCAGCTCGCCAGCTCCCTGCCCTTCGTACACACACCCACCCCCTTCCCCAAGTCAGGCCACTCTACCTCTTCACCCATCAAAGAACCTACACTTTATTTATTTATTTTTTTGGATTTTATTTATTTATTTGAGAGAGAGAGAGA